TTTCTTGGGTCTCGATGATTTTGCGCTGGAGTGCGCGACGCTCCCACGCCACAACTCAATGGACGTCCTGGGGTCTCAGGGTTGGGTTTATCGTGGAAGGGTTCTCTTGTGGACTGGCCCCTGCTGCAAGGGCACACATTTTTGGGATCCAGGAGCGGGTACCTCGCCCTCCCCGGCGGTCGGAGAGCTAGGGTTAAAAGTCGGGCCTCTCCCTCTACAGGAGGAGTAGTCAAAAATAGTTAAACATACTCAGAGGACGTTTTTTTTGTTGTTTGTTTGTTTTTTTGTTGAATTTTTAGGGCATTCTAGTGGTATTCTAGACGCTTCGCGTAACCCCACCAGTGCCCCTGTCGAGTCCGCCACGCTTCCTGGATCTGTCCTCGGAGCCGCCAATCAAAAAAGTAACCCCACCAGTCCATCCAGAACAGATGCCCAGAGGAATTGCCTCGATCAGGGAAGTGGGCAGCAGAAGGGTCCCCCAGTGGAGGCCTCTTGGAGCGTTTTGGGGGCCTCTTGGCGGTCCTGGACGCCTCTTAGAGCGTCTTGGGTGCCTCGGAGAGCTTCTTGGGGCCTCTTGGGGGTCTCTGGGGAGCCTCTTGGAGGCCTCTTGGGCGCCTGTTGGGGCCTCTTGGGGCCGTCTGGGCGCCTCTTGAGGCCCTCTTGGGACGCTCTTGGGAGCCTTGGGAGCGCTCTGGGAACCCTCTTGGGCCATCTTGGAGCTATCTTGAGGCCTCGGATGGCCATCGGAAGCGAAAAGGCGAGAAAGCCAACAACATGGATTTTCCTACAGTTTTGGAAGGATGTTGGCCTCTTCGAGGCCTCTTGGGGGAGCTCTTTGGCCACTTGGAGCAGTCTTGGAGCGGTCTTGGGGCCTCTTGGAGCATCGTGGGAGCCATCTTGAGGCATCTTGGGATATCTTGAGCCATCTTGGAGGTCATCTTGGGCTCTCCCAGGCGCTCTTGGAGTCATCTTAAGCAGTGCGCACCCCCTTCCTCCCCAGGAGGCCAAAATGTGGCCAAAACCTTAGTAAAATCAATGATTTTGGCATTGTCGCCGAGGCCTCTTAGAGCGTCTTGGGTGCATCTGGGGGGCCTCTTGGGGCCTCTTGGGGGTCTCTTGGGAGCCTCTTGGGGGCATCCTGGGGGCCTCTCGGGGGCCTCTTGGGGCCTCCTGGCCACCTCTTGGGACCATCTTGGGGCACCCCTGGAAGCCTTGGGAGCGCTCGTGGGGCCATCTCGGAGGACATCGATCAAAGATCTAATTAGCGCCGCCCCCCCAAGAGGCCAAAATGGGGCCAAAACCTTAGTAAAACCAATGATTTTGGCTTCCTCGCCGAGGCCGTTTTGGACGCCCTGACCGCTCGCGGGGCGCCCCGTCCAGGTTCAGGGGACGAGGTAGGGGGAGGGGTCAAGACTCCCTCTCCGCCCGCACGCCGTCTCGCTCACTCCCACCCGCCCTTCCAACACATACGTAGCACCCGAGCCTGGCCCGAGCCGCAGCATATTCAGCAGTCGTCTTTGGATGGGCAGCTACTGGGGGCGAATCCGCCGCCGCCGCCGCCTCCCCCGACGCCGCCGCCGCCCGCCGCCGCCGCCGCCGCGCCGCCGCCGCCGCCGCCGCTGTCTGCCGCCGCCGCCGCCGCCGCGCCGCCCGCCGCCGCCGTCCGCCGCCGCCGCCGCCGCGCCGGCCGCCGCCGCCGCCGCCGCGTCGCCCCCGCTGCCAAAAGCCGCTGCCGCCGCAGCCGCTGCCGCCACCGCCGCGGCCGCCGCCGCCGCCGCCGCCCCCGCCGCCGCCGCCACCGCCGCCGCCACCGCCGCAGCAGCCGCAGCCGTTGCCCCCGCCGCAGCCGCCGCAGCTGCCGCCGCCGCCAAGTGTTCTCTGTATCGTTTTGTTGTCAGGGATGGTGGGGGGAGGCCGCATCGGGTTCGCTGCGCATGCTCCGAATTTGGAGACATATTGTATCCTGAGTGTTTTTTTGCAAGGGATGGTGTGGGGGGGCCCGCATTGACCCTGGTTGGCTCCCAGTCGCCTGGGGGAGGGGGTGTATATTAATAGGGAACAATAATAAATCCCTCCCCGAAAGGGAAGAAAGGGGGGTGGAAGAGGAAACGCTCTAGACCACCAACGCCCAGAGGGCTGGTGGAATTTTTAATTTTTCATAGAAAATCGGACTGTAGGAGGACATGCCCGACCTGAAGCTAGGGGTTCGCCCTTGTGGCTCACCGCCAGGGCTGAGAGGCTTATTCTTGAACGCAGGTCTTTTGTCGTTTATCGTTTTGGCTTGGGCTTTCGCAAATACAGTGGGGGCGCGCAGACAAGAAACCATGTGCTTTTCGTCAGGGTATACTGGGTTTCTTCGCTCCTCGCGCTGAGCGGTGCTGCTGCGTTCAGGGTGCTCCGGTTTCCCCTCAGGTGTACCTCGCGCGCGGGTTCTCAGGCTTGGGTTTCTTGCGAGGGTTTCTTGCGACCGCGCCCGCACTGTATTCTTGAACGCAGGTCCTTTGTCGTTGATCGTTTTGGCATGGACTCTTGCGAATGCTTGGATTTGTTGGTTGGTATTTCGGCCTCCCTGGTGGCAGGAGAACCCCAGGGCTTCTCCCTGGTGGATCACCGCCAGGGGCTGAGTGGCATACGCTGGCCTACATACCTTGTGCTGTGCTGCTGCTGTTTTGCTGGGGTCGACACGCCTGGGGAAAGGGGGCAGTGGCAGCATGCCCTATTCAACAGTTGCTTGGCCAAATAGTTTTCACGTTTTCCCACCCATCGTGCATAGTGCCACGATGGTGCCCAGTCGACCACCTGATTTCAGGGGTACGGGTTGCATACGGGCGCAGTCGTGCGGTAGTGGCTCGAGGCTATACCTTTTCGACTGGCGGCGTTGCTCGTGCGCTTCGTTATGCTTTTCGTATTGTGAGTTTTTCGTATACTGTGGTCGTCAAATGTTTTGTGGCTGGTGGGCAGTCATGGCAAACCCACTTGTGGTTGCCAAACCGAGGTTTGCTACTTCTCTGCATGGACGGCAGTATGCAAGTGTAGAGGGATTTCTTCGAGGTATCAAACAGTTGTTTCTCGGGCTCGTATAATTGTTGCTGGGCTCCATCTTCCTGTGCAGTGCAACAAGGGTTCATCGACTTCGTGGCGTATTTCGAGAGTTGAGGCGGCTACGCACGGCGTTCACTTGTTGTGAAGATTCGACTTGCGAATGAGGCATTTTCATTTCCATGTTCTTCCTCCCTCCTCCTCCTCGTCGTTGTCGTCGTCCTCCTCCTCCTCCTCCTCCTCCTCCTCCTCCTCTTCCTCCTCCTCCTCCTCCTTCCTTCCCTCCTTCTTCTCTTCCCTCCTCCTCCTCCTCCTCCTCCTCCTCTGCCCTCCTCCTCCTCCTCCTGCCTTCTCTCCTCCCCACCTCACCACCTTGGGAAGGGGGCGGGGGCGGGGGGGGGGCAGCACGGGCCCCCCTGGGGAGGCACTGCCACGCTCTGCAGCACGCGGCCCCCGAGCTGCGCGGCGACAGGGAGTTCATCCTGCCCATCGTCAGACGGAGCGCCTTCGGTCCCTGCCGCTAGCGTTACGTCGGGCGTGTCCCTCTACAGGATGAATGTTCAAAAATAGTGGACAAATCGTATGGGGAGGATTTTTCGACCATTGTTGACCATGCTTGAGATTTTTTTTGGGGGCTGTTTTTTTGGTTTTTCTTCAGAATCCGCCTGTAGGGGGGCACGCCCGACTTAACGCTAATTAGCGGGGGATGGGGAGAAGGCGGGGAAGAGGGAGGCCACAGCCACGCCACGGAGTTTTGCGTGCCCCCGTAGATGAGGACGCTCCGCGATGCGCGCCAGGGCTCAAAGAGGCCTGGCCCAGGCGATGACCGAGGCGGGACTCAGGACATTACCCCCGATGCCCCAGGGCTTCCCTGTGGGACGGGGGTGGGATTTGCCGCGCAGGCCGCGGGCCACAGAGCGGCCGGGCCGGCTGCCGCTCCGCGAGCGGAGCCGCCCGCCCGGAACGGAGGCCTGCGGCGGCGAGCTCGACGAGAACGGCCGGGGCCCGGCGGAAGTGTGCATCCCCCCCTGGCTGGCGCCACAGCGCCCCGGCCGCCCCGGATTTTGCGGTCACCTCGGGGCTGCGGGGCGACTCAGCTTCGGCCGCCGCTCCCGGCGCCGCCGGGGGCGCTGCGAGGAGCACGACCGCCAGCCTTTCCACGCGGCGCGCAGCTGCAGCGCGGCCGGCGTCGCCTTCGTCACCGTGGTGATGGGGGCGGGCGGCGGCGCCCGGGGCAAAGAAGCACACCGCGTTTTCGCCGCCCCTGCGATTTGCGCGCGGCGGACGCCACATGGGAGGACCCCGCCTTTGGCGGTGGATCGCGCCCGGCGGCCGCCGCTACTCCTGCACAGCGGGAGTGCGTGGGCCGTCTTCCGCAGGCTGCAGGCGCCTACTATTCCGGGAGCCCGCGGCCTGGCTGGCTATGGTTCGGCGGTGCGCGCAGCGGACGCCGCGCGAGCGGCTGCCTGTCTGTGCCCTCCGCCCCGCCCATTCCCCCGCCCCTACTTGGGCCCAGGCCGACGTGCGCCCAGCGGATTACCGACGACCGCCCTCGCCCGCCCCCCGTCCGCCTCTTGTGTTTGTTTGCTGTGCACTGCCCCTACCGTTCCCTTCCTCTTCCTTGTTCGCGTCGGTTTGCGGCGTTTGCTTTTCCTCTTCCGCTGCCTGCTGCTCCTCCTCCTCTTCCTCCTGCTCCTCTTGCTCCTCCTCTTACGTACTCATTTTCCTCCTCTTTCTCTTCCTTCTCCGCGGCCGCTCTTCAATTATTCGGCCTGCATGGCGCCTTCTCCTCGCGGCGGCGGCGGCGCTGGGCCAGCGAGAGCGTCGGCTCAGGGGGCGAATTGACGTTGCAACCGCTGCCGCGACAAGAACCTGGGCTGGCGCGCGAATGTCGGCAGGCGGCGTGCGTGGGCTGTTGGTCGACGACTCGCGGTGTGTCGGGGGGTGACCCCCCCCACGCG